GGTTTAGGAAAGGGAGGCTCCCCACCGGGAGGCAAGGACGGCTCAGCCGGGGCCCGGGACACGGAGGTGACCATAGTGGGACCATCCAGAGCAAGGTTCCCCTGCTCCACTCAGAGACTCTCCTGGGAGGGATGAGTTTGCACAGAGTGTGTGTGGGGTGCAGCGGGTGTGGGGCTGTGGGCTCACTGAGAGGCCCGATGGCCCCCAGGACAGCTGTCATCTGTTTTTCTGGGGACCCCAGGCATGGTTCACCCGTCTCCCCGGAAGTGATGGCATTCGGGGCTGAGCCAGCGACTCTGCAGGGCACATTCAGCCACCTGTCCCGATGCCAAGGGAGTGAGCACTGTGGGCAGGGGAGCAGCACAAGGGAACATGAGCTCGGGATAAACCGCCCCACAGAACCCAGACTCAGCGCGCCCCCAATCCAGCTTCCCCGGGAGAGACACACACAGCCGTCCCCAGGTCAGCCTCCCCCGGGACAGCCACACACAGCCGTCCCCAGGTCAGCCTCCCCGGGAGAGCCACACACAGCCGTCCCCAGGTCAGCCTCCCCGGGAGAGCCACACACAGCCGTCCCCAGGTCAGCCTCCCCCGGGACAGCCACACACAGCCGTCCCCAGGTCAGCCTCCCCGGGAGAGCCACACACAGCCGTCCCCAGGTCAGCCTCCCCGGGAGAGCCACACACAGCCGTCCCCAGGTCAGCCTCCCCCGGGACAGCCACACACAGCCGTCCCCAGGTCAGCCTCCCCGGGAGAGCCACACACAGCCGTCCCCAGGTCAGCCTCCCCGGGAGAGCCACACACAGCCGTCCCCAGGTCAGCCTCCCCCGGGACAGCCACACACAGCCGTCCCCAGGTCAGCCTCCCCGGGAGAGCCACACACAGCCGTCCCCAGGTCAGCCTCCCCGGGAGAGCCACACACAGCCGTCCCCAGGTCAGCCTCCCCCGGGACAGCCACACACAGCCGTCCCCAGGCAGCTTCCCCTGGGAGAGCCACACGCGCCAGCGGCCTCCAGCTGTGCCAGGGCCGGGAAGGGATGCGGAAGCCCCCGGGTCTGGACTGACCGTGCTCGGGGCTTATTTCAAAGTTTACAAACTGTGCGACCGTGAAGACCACGGCCTCGGGCCCGGCCTCAGGTGGCCCGCGAACTGCCCGCAGCAGCGTCCAGCGGAACTTCTGCTGGGCCCAGGACCCGGATCTCAGTGAGGTGCTGCCAGCGTCGGCCCCGAAGCCCCCTTGCAGCCGGACGTTGAAAGAAGCGGGAGGAGGGGTCTCCCCACAGGCCGCCTAATGGGCCCCTCTGACCACTCCGCCCTGCACCCAGTGAAGCCCCGTCTGCTCCTGTGACGGGGTCAGCAGGTCTCCCCACACGTCAGGATCCTTCAGCAGAGGGGACCGAAGAGCGACACTCAGGAACCCGCTCAAGGAGCTACGGCGCCTCCCGCCGTGGACGTGTCCCCATTGGGCTGTTTTTAGGGGGCGACGCGGGATATTTTCACGCTGTTAGCTACTGGAGTGGGTTGGGTGGGGTTAGCCGCTAGGAGTCGAGGGAGGGAGGTTGAAGGTCACACAATCATCGCGGGGTCAAACGAAAGCCAGCTTAGAGCTCGAAGCCGCCTCTCCGTTTCTCCAACAGTAATGAGGTCGCCGGCAGGCAGCCCGGTTTGTCACCTCTTCCAAGCCCCTCCCGTTTATGAGCCCATCTCGCCAACGTGAGCTCCTTTCCAGCACCAGGCGGCACATCCCTTCATTTATTTGTATTCATTAATTCATCAAGCATGCGTTGACCTTTTTGTGTGAAACGCTGTTTTAAACAGGAGTAATTCCAACTATATATAATTTTTTTTAAATCCCAAATAACGTTGGCCTACAAGCCTGGAGGTGGGCAGCCCAGGGACCCAGACGCCTTCGGTCTTGCTGTCATCCGAAGTCATCACCTCGTGATCCAAAACAGCTGCTCAGCTCCAGCCCTCGGGTGCACATTCCAGGCAGCTGAAAGCAGGAAGGGACAAGGACCCGAATGGGGGCCCACCCCTGTGATCCCCTCCACCTGGAATGTGCTGGGCTCCACCTGGCCAATCCTGTTCACCCGTCGGGTCCTTCTCACGATGACAAGGCTGTTCTCTGTATAATTGCTTTTGTGTGTTTGGGTCTCCGTGAGGGCAGGGATGCCTGCTGTCGATCCTGCTGCAGCCGGGGGGGGGGCTGTCCCAGGGCACGTCGCATGGCTGAGCGCCAGTGCGGGCACCGCCCGGGTTTCTCCGCATCTGCGCTCTTTTCGCTGGTCGGACCCGTTGGTCTTTCTTGATGGTGGTGAGCAGGACTTCTAAGGGAAGCACGCTATGCAAGGCTAAAATTATGCTTTCTGCTTGGTTCCCATTACTCTAATGGTGACCCATTTTGTCTGCCGCACGCTGGGCCCTCTTCAAGATGACAAAGTGACAGTGACTCCCATCCGGTCACCGCTGAGCACACAGAGCCATTAGAGCCCGGCTGTGGCTCCAGCACAGGCTGTGCCGGAAGCAGCGCCTGTCTCCCTGAGCGCTGCCCCCGGGGCTGACCTGGGCGGAAACGGCAGCGCCTGGCTCCTGCCTGCTCCGCCGGCCCCCGCCCAGGGTCACAGTCGCCGCCAGACCGGGGGGAGCAGCCCTGTGCTGTCCCCGTGGGTCACGGTGCGAGGCCTTGTGAAGTAGAGGAGGCGGCTGGTTCTGAGCACAGGTGTCACCCGGTGTAGCTTTGTTAAATGGGTTCATAACACACGTGGATGCTGCTGACGATTTCCCCACGAGACACGTGCGGAACGTGCCAGAGGGCAGGTGTCTGGTTACCGCGTGTTCTTGCTCTCTAGTCCACGTGCCACACCCCTTGGGGCCACGCCAGGACCCTCGACAGGCCCCAGGCTGCCCCCCGGGCCCTGCACTCAGGAGGGCTCTGCTTCCAGGAAGGTCTGGGGCTGTTTGGATAAAAATTTGGCCCCCCACCAAGTGCACCATTGACCAGGGCCCACGTGCACGCTCCTTGTCTGCAGGGGCCGCCTCCCTGCGCTGTGAGGCCTGAACCCTGGCTCCGTGGCTGGGCGTCTGACCCAAGTTTTCAGTTGAGAATTTCTGCTTCTTCGGACTCAGAGGCCCCTTCACAGCGTGAGTTGAGAGCAGAGGGGTCCTCAAGCTCTCGTCCACGGCAAGAGGCAGCTGCCTCACCTGGGACAGAAGAAGGTGAAACTGGCCAAGACGCGCCCCGCACGGGGCACCTTTGTTCTCAGAAGAAAAGCGAGTGTTCCCGAGATGCGGCAGGACACCCCGTTAAACCAGCAGTTCTCAGGTAGCTGGGGCGCCTGTGGCTGGCCCCTGCCCGCTCCCCAATGTTGCCCACATACTCTGGCACCGGGCATGACAGGGTGTGACCGTCACTTCCATGATGAGGCACAGAAAACTGCCCTCTGCCCCCAATTCCCGCTGCCCTCTTTGGGGGCATCAGTCTGTGCGTCCTGGTCAGGCCCCCTGCTCCTTGCTGTCCTCCCACCTTCCAGAAATAGAAGTGGCTGGAAGTCAAACTGTGCCCCGGAGAACCACCCTGTCACTCCCACTGCAGCCAGGAGTCTGTTCCCGAGACACCCCCCAACCAAGCCAAGTCTCCCTGCCAGCACTCCTCCTGGCACTCTAGCAAACCAGGGCAGTACTTGGCACCCAGGCGAGGACCCTGCTCCCTGCCAACCAGCCGGCTGGCCTGGATCCAAGTCCTCAAGCCCCTGCGCCCTTTCTCATCTGTGCAGAGGCAAATGGCTGTCCTCTAGGGGTGGCCTGAGCTGTCTGCACAAAAGGTTCACAAAACAGAAATGCAGGGTAGATGCAGGGTAGATGTAGGAGCATCGTGGTCAGTGTTGTTCGTCCTGGATCCTGCTCACTCCAGGTCCCTGATGACATCAGCCAACCCCATCTTCAGCTGGCAGGCGGGGAGAGGGCCGCAGCCTCCCGGCAGCTGGCGCGGGCTGGCGGCACCTGCAGGCGGGGCCGCCTCTGTGCCACTGCGGAGGACTTCAGTGCCAGGGAGGAGGGGCTCCGGCGGATTCCTGCCTCATGGCCTCGCCCCTCTTCAGAAGCCTGGAGGCGCCCTGTCCGCGTGCCCCGGGGTCTGTGAGCAGGAAGGAGCCCCCGGGCCTGGCCCAAGCTCAGGAAGTTTTCCTGGAGCAAGTGAGACGGGCGGGTTCCTGGCTGATTCCCTCGCCGCCTGCCACAGCCTTTCTGCTGCCCACCCGCCTGTCCACCCCTTGGCCACCTCTGGGAGCATGGGCTGGTTTCCGCTCTGGGCCCCCCAGGTCCCCAAGGGCTTGGCCACTACCTGATCCTGCTCGAAACTGCTGTGTCCTGAACCTGGGAGTCGGAGGACACTGGCAGGGACCAGTTCCAAGCCAGCAGTGCCCGTGGGATGTAGGGGCGCCCACAGCTCTGGGGGGGGATGGTCTTCCGGGGCCCACAGCCCAACAGCCCTGGCTGACTCACCCCTTTTAGCAAAACAGGGCTGGGGTTTGGGCTGCTGAAGGCCACTGGGCACCCAGAGGTGAGAGAGCTGGGCGCCAGTAAGCAGACAGGGTGCCCAGGGCTGTGCGGCTGGCGGGGCTCGGATGGAGGGGTGGTTCC